AAGACGTCTTATTCTTACACCGGTGTAAAAATATTATGCCTTATAAATTTAGAGGACATTTAAGATGTTTTTTTATGAGAATGTTTTTAGTGCATCCATCGTACTAAATACTCGGTGCGATGGTGCTATTATAACTATGTACTCCGAGGAGTACATATTGTAATATTAAAGTTATTTTTCTCTCTCTTTCTCTCTCTTTACGTCAACCGATAAGTTTCTGAAGAGAGAAAAAAAGTAACTTTAATATTATAACTATGTCCTCCCCATAGCACATAGTTATAATAGTACCATCGCATTGAATACTCGGTGCGAGGGTTGCACTAAAAATATTTTCGTGTTTGGGAATCAATATTAAGCGGGAAATGGAAGGAAAGGGAAGGTTTTGCTTATGTCTTCCTTTTGTATGTGAATTTTTAAAAATAGGGGAAGGGAATAGGGGATTTTTATAAAATCCTCCAATACATTTCTCACTCTTAAAATCAAAGTTTCCCAATTTGGAGGTATAATAAGGAAAATATAATAAATTACTTATGTGCCTTTTCTCTCTTTCTCAAATTTTTTTATTTTCTCTTATTCAATTCAGAAACAACCAACCCTGAATTAGAGTCAAGCCAAAGTTTGATGTCGGATGCCTAAGAATTAAAGTCATTCAACTCACCCATGCAAAACGGAGCATGAAAGTATTTATTGAAAATTGGCTTCTCCAACTGATGTACATCATAGGACATGCAACCAGATTGAGATTCAGCCATGGGTAACCCAAAAAGATAGAAAATGGGAACCGAAAAGAAATAAATGAGTGCAAGTAAGAACACGTGATGAGCTTCCAACTTGTTATGTATTAAGAGTCAAATTAAGCATGAAATTGATCTAAAAATAACCAAAAGACATATGAGAATTGTAATTAAAGTGTTATTTTACTCTCTGTAATATTCTCATAAGAAATTATCGTGTTTTGTAGGAATTTTGGCTTAGTGAAGAAGATCAAGTTGGAGAGCTCTTGAGAAGCGAGAAAAGCAAATGAAAGGATCAAGTGAGTCGGCGCCCCATCTTTATCTCTCAGTATCTTCGCGCCTGGAGCACCAAGTACGGCCCTAGAAGCGCCAACCTACCTTTTTCCTCGCGCTAGCAGCACTATCATGGCGCCTTTAGCGCCAAGTCCTCAAAATGCCATGTGATTCCCCCGTGCTAGTACCGCCAGCAAGCCAAAAACGTCTTTTTAAAATTCGAAAATTTTGATTCTAATCTAATTTTTGAAGATACGATAGAAGATTTGGTGGGATTTTAGAGATATTTTTCCCTTCGACATAAAAGTCAGTTTTTGGAAACATTCACAAGTGGAAGAGGAAACCAAAGAATTCTGAAAAAAGAGATCAAGAATGAGGTTGAAGGAATATCGAAGTGTCTTAGTGGAGATCAACCATCATTCCTCTCTCAATGATTTCATCTAGTTTCTTTTCTTTTTCTTGTTTTGTTTAAGCCAACTATGTCTAGTTGATTTCCTTTGTAGTTAGGGATATGGATCCAATATGAATCTTTATGTCGATTTCACTTTCTTTTCTATAAAAATCTGTATCAAATTATTATGTATTTATCTTGAATTAATTGTTCAAATTCTTGTATGATCTTATCAACCATATAAGAATAAAGAAGATTAGAGTTCTAAATAGAGATATTGTGATCAAAATCTAGACGGGGTAAACATCAATTTTTGCATGCTCTAAACATAGACTTGTAGGATTTTCACACTCGTGATATTCATCGCGCGTAAAGCTTAATCTAAAAAGGATTTCTAAGCGATTAAGATTTTGATTAGGTTAAAGGCTTAAATACATAAGACATTAGAGATTTAACCAATTATCACTTAGATGTAGAATTTGTTTGGAACAATAGAGTTGGAAATTTATTGAATTGGGTTGAATTATGTAAAGAGGATTAGAAGTGAAGTAAACCCTAATTGTGGTTTTCATTCTTGTTTTCCAACTCATCCTGTAATTGTTTGAATCCCTTTCTTGCTTTTAATTATTGCTTGGCAATTGTTCTTTTACAAACTTTAATTGGTTTTCCATCAATTAAAAATTACTCTTCCCAAACCAGCCTTGGATTTGTCCAACTTAAGTGAAATAGTAAAATTAGTGCTTGGAGCCCCTAATCCTCGTGCGAACAATACTTTACTCATTGTTTTATTACTTATACAACCGGTATACTTGCCCTGAGCACAACAGTACGTATCACGAAACAAGCTCCGATCAACACGAAAACCACAGATCCATGACTAGGGGAGAAAGGTGACCAAGTCTTTCCAAATTGCACATAAAATAGGGCAACCATTCTCTGCCATAGAAACAAAGACGTTGTGACTTTGAATAGCGTGTGGGGGTGCGTTATATAGGGGCTAGAGGTGGGTCTCAGATGGAAATGACCATTGCGAGGAGGTGATCTGAACAGTGGGAGGATCGGTTGGAAAATTCTCTGGGGGGGTCGATGACGGATGGCAACAGTGACTTGCCGGAGATGCAGCTAAAAATAATCTTGGACGGTTGCTGAAGGTTGGGATTGTGTTCGGGTTCATAGACTAGTGCTGGAGGTTGAGAGACCAGAAACTATGAGGACAACATGGTTTCTGAAAAAATTTATCACCAGTAGGCAACGGGCCACTGGGTAAGCACAAATTAGGGTGGACTCTTGTCAAACTCTTGATACCATGTTAAGAGAGAAGAAAATGAAAGATATATGATGTAATCTGTGTGTCTTAAAACACAGCTGAAGCACTAATATATATTTGAATAAAAGGAATTACACAAGAATATTACATTATATGTCCCTTAACTATTTATTCGATATAAAACACTATCAACAAAGATGTTTATAAAATAAACTATTATTATTATTATTCAATGATAACATTGATGTTTGAATATATAAATTCATGTAAATTATCTAAATCCCTAACCACTACATTACTCTTAGGAGGCATTTGGTAGAGGAGAAATTTTTTTATACTTAAGAATCACGATTATCAAGAATATGCTGGAAAAGTGTATTTTATGGGAATATGAACAAAAAGTTATTTGGTATGCCAAAATATTACTACAAATTTTGGCTCAAGTTTTTTCATTTTATATTTGGTTGATTTTTAAATGTTACTAAAAATGTAAGGTGAATTTAAAAACTACACTACTGGCGCTAGTGGAGCCATCATCGCGCTATTGATGCGAGAAGAAAATATTGCGTGAAGACTTGACGCTAGTAACACCTTTACCACGTTAGTGGTGTGAAAAGAAAATATTGTTTGGCACTAATGGCGTGGAGGTAAAAATATTTTTCCATCTCTCATAAATCTAAAAATACCAACCCCCGGTGATATTTTTGGATGGCATTTTGCCTTAAAAAGTAAAAAGTGTTCACAAATCATAATTTTGGAAAAATTAGATTCTCGTGACAAAATTTCACAATCTTTGTACCAAATTTGGATAAGTACGATTCTCAATGTTATTTTTTCAAAAATCTCAAAAAAAATCCTTGTATTAAACACCCCTTAATTGCTTATAAACCGTTATTTCTAAGATTATACTAAATCTCATATTTTTATTGGCTATTCTAAAGTCAACCCCGATTACTTGTTTGCCATGTGGCTACCGTGGTGAAAGGAGCTGGACCAGCTGGCTGCCATCACGGGCAATGATAGCCTTAAGCGACACAGTTATTCAATGTGCGCATACTTGCAATTATTTAAAAGTGTTAATTATAGCTTCATTAGTATATTAGACGGATCTGGATGTGATAAAAAAAAAAATTCACGTGAGAAATCATAATTATATAAAAATAAATTAATGACAATAAAAGGAAAAAAATATTAAAATAAATAATTATAAAATTATAACAGTTGATTCATCTTTATACGATTGTAATCTTCTCGTATAACCATATCATATATATTTTTTACACAAGCGGATCAATTTCCATATTAGACATTAGTTAGTGCGTGTTATTTTTAATTTTTTCTCTCTTTAAAAGCAGTAGTAGTTAAACATATTTTATTAAAAGTTCTAATTATAAAAAGAGCTTTTTTATATTAAAAAATTTAAAAGCCCCAAGTGGAATTTTTTTTAAGAAATATGCTGACTTTTTCAACTCATCATATTTATTTTACAATTTTATCCTTATTTTAAATTTATATTTATAAATTTTATTCTTTATACTAATAATTTATCTTAATAATCAATTATTTTATCTTCCCACCTTCAAAAGCCATCAAAACTTTATAGATTCAGCGAACAGCATTCAACTTTATTTTTTAAGTGTCAAACATGCATCATCCGAAATTACGCAGAACTCACGAACGAATAATATGCGATACCATTGGCCTAAGAACAGATACTAATTAATTGCTGCAAGTTGCAAACGATACCCATCAACTCTCAAAAAAAAAAAGGAGAGAGGAAAATACATACCGTTCGCACGCGGCATGATTTTATAAAAGAGATTAGCTCGTTGATTGAGACGTTCAACTCTTTGAAAGGAAAGTTAAAAGGTTTTATTATCAAATGCAGTATACCAAAGTTGACCTTAATCTGTTAATTTTGTCACGTTTTTAATTATAGATTAACATTATTATGTCATTCAAATGATTTGTTTACAAGAACAATTATAAAATAGTTTTCCACAAATAACTTTATTATTCTCTTTTTATATAACATAAGATAGTTATTCATGTTCTAGAGAAAAAATGAATTTCATTATTACAAAAAAAAAAAAAAAGTAAAGTACTAAAATTAAAGTTATCTCATGTAAAATGAGAGTAATATTTCTTTTTTACAATGACTACGGGGGAGTTGTATCTTGTATGGGTCGGTGCTCAAACTAGACTGCTTTCATTTAGATGAGCCCTGCAAGGTTAAGCAGAATCTAGCTCTCTCCCAACAATGATGATCTTTGTTGCACCAAAAACAATTTATGTCCGGTTACCCAATCTTAATTCCCCCTATCAATTGTTAATGATGTTGTTGTCCATTTTCTTCTTCTTGATTATCCCATATGCATCCTCTTTATCCTTTAACTTCACTAATTTTGATCCCAATGGCAAGAGCATTATATATGAGGGATCAGCTTACTCTGCTGCACCAGCTATCCAACTTACAAGAAACCAGGTGGACAAGAACATGATTGAAAGTATTGGTCGAGCCTCATACTACCAACCTATGCACCTGTGGGACAATACCACAAGAAATCTCACAGATTTCACAACCCATTTCTCTTTTATTATAGATTCACAGAATCGAAGTAGATATGGAGATGGGATTGCTTTCTTCCTTGCCCCTGCTGGTTCAAAGATTCCTAATGCCACAAAAGGAGGTTCCATGGGTCTCACACTTGACAATCAGATGTTGAACTCAACTGATAATCCATTTGTTGCTGTGGAGTTTGATATCTATCGGAACTTCTGGGATCCACCCAATGAACATGTTGGCATCGACATCAACTCTATGAGATCTGTTGCTAATGTGACATGGTTGGCTGATATCAAGGAAGGAAAGCTCAATGAAGCTTGGATCAGTTACAATTCGAGTTCACTAAATTTAAGTATTGTTTTCAATGGTTATAACAATGACACCGTTCTGCAGCAACAACTATCTGCCATAGTTGATCTGAGACTTTATCTGCCAGAAATGGTTACTCTTGGCTTCTCGTCTGCCACAGGAAATTTAACTGCTATACATAGTATCTATTCATGGGATTTTAGCTCTACTTTGGGAGCACAAGAAAACATCACGAACTCACAAAACCCAGTTGCAATGTCTCCAACCTTCAATAATACGGCTCCCATTCAGAAGAAAAAGGCAAGGACAGGACTAGCAATGGGATTGGGTATCGGTGGATCTGTTTTAATTGGTGGATTGGGTTTGATTTCAATAGTCTTGTGGAAGAAGTGGAAGAAAGTAACTGAAGATGAAGATCATGGTTTTGAAGAGTATATGGGTGAGGATTTTGGAAGGGGGACAGGACCCCGGAAGTACTCTTATGCTGAATTGTCCCATGCAGCTAATAATTTTAAAGATGAGCATAAGCTAGGACAGGGAGGATTTGGAGGCGTTTATAAGGGTTATCTCAAAGACATTAAGTCTTATGTTGCTATTAAGACGGTTTCAGAAGGTTCTGATCAAGGGATAAAGGAGTTTGCATCAGAAGTAAGAATTATTGGCCTTTTAAGGCATCGAAATCTAGTGCAATTGATTGGTTGGTGTCATGAAAAGAAAAAGCTATTGCTTGTGTATGAGTACATGCCAAATGGAAGCTTAGACGTTCATTTGTTCAAAAAACAAAACTTGTTGAAATGGGCTGTGAGATATAACATAGCTCGAGGCTTGGCATCTGCATTGCTATACTTGCACGAAGAATGGGAACAATGTGTTGTACACAGAGACATAAAACCAAGCAACATTATGCTAGATTCGGAGTTTAATGCAAAACTAGGGGATTTTGGTTTAGCAAGGTTTGTGGACCATGCAAAAGGTGCACAAACTACAGCTTTAGCTGGGACTATAGGCTACTTGGCTCCAGAATGTGCTACCATGGGCAGGGCCAGTAAGGAATCAGATGTATACAGTTTTGGAGTTGTTGCTTTAGAGATAGCTAGCGGAAGAAAACCCATAAGCCTTGAAGCACAAGAAAATGAAATAAATATTGTGGAGTGGGTCTGGGGCCTCTATGGAAAAGGTAGAATTCTTGAAGCAGTGGATCCAAGACTAGGTGGAGATTTTGCGGAGGAGCAAATCAAATGCTTGATGATTGTTGGTCTTTGGTGTGCTCACCCTAATCAAAATGATAGGCCCTCAGTTAGGCAAGCGATTCAAGTGCTTAACTTTGAAGCTCCCTTTCCTAATCTTCCATCAAGTTTTCCAGTGCCAACATATCTTGACTTCCCAATGAACTCCTCCATAGCTCCATTCAGCATAAATGCTTCTGGGGAAGGTCAACACCACAACATAAGCTTTAGTTCTAACACAAACTCCTCTGGTTTCACCACAACTTCTGATGATGTTTCTCCATCTGTGTCGCTTCTGTACACACGGTAAAATTTGATTTTTATCTTCTTCTTCTTCTTTTTCTTTTGGAATATATCTCAAAAATGTCAAACTGTATTAATCACATTTTTCTGATGTCAGATTTGTTCATATGTGTTTTTAGAGGGGAATTGATCCTCTCATGTGTTTTTAGTAGCAAGAGGTAGTAACTGTAACTTCTCCCATGATTTTATCAAATCTTAAAATTTAAACAGATCAAAATTAATTAGTTTACTTTATTTAAATTTTTTCAATTAGATTTTTTATAATTATTATGAGATGCAATCACTTGTATTTATTTTTTTTATTTTTATAAAAACGGATTAGGTCAATGATCTATACGAGGGTGTAATATAAAACCTATTCAATCAAATGATCATTTGGTCTATGCTTAAATATCTATAATAAGTGGATAACATTACAGACCTAACTCATGAGCTCATGATAAGAAGAGCTCATGATAAGAAGAGAATTAGGATTAATAAATTTGGCTATATCTCATATGCATTCACCATATATTAAAAAAAATAGTCATTCCACGAATTGTCCATCAACACTGTGATTAAGGAATGATGTAAACCGTTGAGGGAAATCTTAGTCTTTATTTTGAGCGATGTTTTGAATAAGGGCTGCATGAATTGATGAGTTTTTATTTTATTTTATTATTAAAAAAAAATAGGATATTGTTATTATCAAATAATATTACTATCAATATTACTATCATAACTTAACTGTTAATAACTATTGATTGACGAAAATCAACAATTAAAATATGATAGTAACATTGATAATAATATTATTTGATAATAATAATATTCTGTCCCTACAAAAATTAGCGAGATCTGCTTTTTTTCAACAATAAGTTTGTACGACTTCAACTTTCAAGTTTGAAATATCAAACTCTTCATTTATTAGAATAATGTTAATTATTGCTTACAAAAAAAAATAATGTTAATTATTTCTGGTTTCAGATCTGTATTGGAAACTAAGTTCTATTATATGTAGACATAGTCATGTCAAAATACATGTTTGGGTAACGATGGCCTTATGATTTAAGGCATACGGAGATCGATTTTGCTTTCTGCGATTTGAATACGTTTGTTTTGTTAGTATGTTTTTTTTTTTTTTTGGTTCTTGATCTAATAGATAATATTGATGGAGTGTTTGGGTTTTGAACTATATATGCTATGGTTGTCTTATAATTCAATAGAGCTACCACATCTTCTCCAAGTTAATGAACAGTTTTGGAAGATCATGAACCACTGCGATTCAGTTTTGTTAGTGATAGAGATATCTAGTCTAAAGTTAGTAGATCAATATGTGACCAGACTCTCTTTGTAAGATATCCATGAAGTAGATATCCAGAGATAGAAGGTCACTGCACATAACTAATAAGGACATAGCCAATAAAATATTATGTATGCACAATAACAACATAAGAGTTAAAGAAAAATTATGTCATACCTATAAACCTATGGACTTACATAAGGCCATACATGTGAAGGCTCAACAAAAGGTAATTACAAGTTTTCAAGATTGTTTTTATTCGGCTTTGTTGCTTATGCAGTATATATAATGTTGTCTTTATTGCCATTTTTTACTTTTCTCCGGTATGCTTTCAGATTTTACAATTTGTTACATTTAGCATTAATTTGTTAGTATAACAGTTTGTACAACTTTTCAATAATTGTTTATAATTTGTTTACAATTCGTTCGGCTTTGTAACAGTATAAACAATTAATCATAATCAATCTGTTAGTATAATAGTATGAGTTTAGTGTTTGTCCTTTCAAAAGACATAGAGTTGTGTCATTTTAAATAAAAAAAAGATAAATAATGAAAATCATAAGAAAGAGAGAGTAGGTGATTTTTTTTATTTAAATTTTAAATAAAAATATTAATTTTAACTAAAATGACCCTCCTTTAAAAAGAAAAATATTTTTCCCTAACAGTATAACAAATTATTAGTTTACAAATATTTGTTACTTTTCAAATTTACTTTGGTAATCAATTAGACTTTGATTCATAAATTACTTTAATATTCTTATAATAATTTAAAATGTAATATTTTTACATTATTTTTTATATATTTTTCATTACGATAAATATTTAAAAGAAAAGTATTAAAACTTAGAATATATTTTATCATTTTTTGTGTATATTTAGGTGAACAATGTGTTGAAAAAAATGTAATTATTATATTTGATATCTAACGATGATAATAATTCTCTTCTAGAGTATTGATATGTAATTGTTTTATATATATTTTTAGTTTGTAATGTTTGTTCTAATATTCTTGTTTTTTGAGTTATATTCTTCCGCTTAAATTATTTAAGTGTAAAACTTATTTGAGAGTACTATTATTTTGATTTCATGATCAGTTGGGGTCTTCCACCTTCTTGTTGATTGCATCATGGTTTTGGGCAAGAAAAAATTAATTCTCGTGCAAGAATTTTTATAAATCATTATGGGTGATTACAACCAAAGTGGAATTATTTATATTGATTTGTGTAAAAAAATTTGTAATTTGATAAATGTTTCTGGTTATTTTATGCAATTTTCTGACTAAAAGGGATAATTGTGTGTTATTACTAGGAACTTATGAACTTGTTTAGGATGGAGCTATTGGAGGTGCATTGGTCTAGGTGATTTATCATCCCAAAAGGGACATATCTCTGAAGTTAGTGTATGCTCACTGAGCAAATTTTCTGTGAGGTTGTAGATGAAGTTATTGAAGGCTCATTGGTCTAGGAATCTATCTTCATAAATGGGATGAATTTTCAAACCAAATGTTGTGCTTATTAATTAACTCATCTGAGGTTCTGGCCTTGTTTGTGTATTTTGCCCATAGAGAATGTACTATTACATTGGCCTTTCATGACAACATGTTGTGCACATTGATTAACTCATCTGAGGTTCTAACCTTAGTTAGTGCATTCTACCCAAAGGATAAAGTACTATTATGATGGCCTCATTATAATATCTTGATTTAATTGAAGGTGTATATTGTCCTTTAGTTTATTATGATGCATTTGTAAGTGCAATTGGATCTGCGGAAGAGTTTTATGCCATTGCAGTTTGGGATGCAACATCATCATCATTTTTCTAATTACCTCTTGTAGCGCAGATCATAGATGATGCTCCATGAATCGGTGTCCTGTGTCACAACACGAACCGATCTCTTCTGCGTAACAACATGAATAGATCTTTCTTGGTTTTGGTAAACCTTCAAAGCTATCTCTCGAGGGGGAATAAGAAGTGGGTGGACACTTTTTCAGATCTAAGCTTACCTCTTTTGTTCAATGACCTGGTGGCTGATGACTTAAACAATAGTATTTATATGGGTACCAAGAAACCCTAGCCCTAAGCTCTTTGGCCTCTCGGCTGCTTGGGCTCTTTTTATACTCTTAGCCCAATTAGGCTTAAGTAAAAGAACACAAACTCAATAATCTCATATTTGCTCTTTGGGGTACAAACTTGAATCCAAAACCTAAGACTATATAACCCAAAACCAAAAGTAATGTATGTCAAGTTGCACAATCTTAATTTCCCTTGTAACTTCTCAATGATGTTGTTTTCCATTTTCTTCCTCTTGATTATCCCATATGCATCCTCTTTATCCTTTAACTTCACTAGTTTTGATCCCGATGACAAGAGCATAATGTACGAGTGACTTATCCCGTAACAGCAGTTATCCAACTTATAACAATCCAACTTGACAAGAATATGACTGAAAGTATTGGTCGAGCCATATATTACCAACCTATACCGGTGGGACAAAACCACAAAGAATCTCACATATTTCACAACCCATTTCTCTTTTATCATAGATTTACATAATCGAAGTAAATTTGGAGATGGGATTGCTTTCTTCCTTGCCCCTGCTGGTACAAAGATTCCTAATGCTACAAAAGGAGGTTCAATGGGTCTGACACTTGATAATCAGATATTAAACTCAATTGATAATCCTCTTGTTTCTGTTGACTTTGATATCTTTTAGAACTTCTGGGATCCACCTAATGTACATGTAGGTATCAACATCAACTCTATGAGTTCTGTAGCTAATGTAACATGGTTGGCTGATATTGAAGAAGGAAAGCTCAATGAGGGCTGGATCAGTTACAATTCGAGTTCATTAGAATTGAGTATTGTTTTCAATGGTTTTAACAATGACAACGTCCTGCAGCAACATCTATCTGTTGTAGTTGATCTGTGACTTTATCTGCTAGAAATGGTTACTCTTGGCTTTTCGGCTGCCACAAGAAATTTAACTACTATGAATAGTATTTATTCTTGGGATTTTAGCTCAACTTTAGGAGCACAAGAAAACATAACAAACACAGAAAACCTAGTTGCAATCAATGAAGCTCCCAGTTAGAAGAAAAAGGCCAAAACAGGATTAGCAGTAAGATTGGGTATTGGTGGATTTGTTTTAATTGGTTGGTTGTGTTTGATTTCAATGGGCTTGTCGAAAAAGTGGAAGAAAGGAGCTGAAGTGGAAGATAATGATTTTGAAGTGTGTATGGGTGAGGATTTTGGAAGTGGGATAGGAGCCTAGAAGTATTCTTATGCTAAATTATCCCAAGTAGCAAATGATTTTAAAGATAAGCATAAGCTAGGATAGGGTGGATTTGGAGGCATTTATAAGGGTTATCTTAATGACATAAAGTATTATGTTGCTATTAAGAGGATGATAGAAGGTTCTGATCATGTGATATAAGAGTTAGCGTCAGAACTAAGAATGATTAGCAGGTTAAGGCATCGAAAACTAGTGCAATTGATTGGTTGGTGTCATGAAAGAAAAAAGCTCTTGCTTGTGTATGACTACATGCCAAATGGAAGCTTAGATGTTCATCTATTCAAGAAAAGTAACTTTTTGAAATGTGCAGAGAGATATAAGATAGCTCGAGGGTTGACCTCTGCATTGTTATACTTGCAAGAAGAATGTGAATAATGTTTTTTACATAGAGACATAAAATCAAGCAACATTATGCTAGATTCGGAGTTCAATGCAAAACTTGGGGATTTTGGTTTAATAAGGTTTGTGGACCATGCAAATATGCACAAATTACAGGTTTAGCTGGAACTAAGGGCTACATATCTAATGAATGCCCAATCACGCGTAGGCCTGGTAAGGAATTAGATGTCTACAATTTTGGAGTTGATGCTTTTGAGATAGCATATGGAAGAAGATCCATGAGCTTTAATGCACCAGAAAATGAAATAAATATTGTGAAGTGGGTCTGGGGGCTCTATGGAAGAGGGAAAATTCTTGAAGCAGCAGATCCCAGACTAAGGGGAGATTTTGAGGAGGAGAAAATCAAATGCTTGATGATTGTTGGTATTTGGCATACTGTTTCGACTTCAGCAAGTATACCGGTCGTAGAAGTAATAAAAGTGTACTTTGAGTACAAGATCGTTCTCACGAGGATCGGTGGTCAAGCACTAGATCACTACTCACGATTTATTTGAACAAACAATTACGAAGAAAAGTAGAATTGAAATTAAGAACAAGCAATAGCATAGAATTGCAAAATTAAAACAAGAATTTAAGAAAAATTTAGTTTTTGACAATTGAGAAAAGGCGTAGTTAGGGTTTCGACTTTCCTCAATATCTTCTTAATTCTATGAATTAAACAGTCAAGAAACTACTCTTAATATACTGTCAATCAATTCTTTCTAAATTAATTAAGGCCCAATCCCTTGCTACCCTAATTTTATGTGATCTTGAAAAAATCCTAGTTCCCCGGTTGTTCCTAAAGAAAACATGCATTAAGATCAAGAATTCAAAGATTGCCCAATTACCCTATGTCTATTCCTAAATCACAAGGATTATGATGAATTTATCTAATCAGAGTTCATACACCAACATTCTTATTGTAATGGAATTCCCCTAAATCATTCTACAAGGAGAAAACTCATAGAAAACATTAAAAACAGATAAATTCATTTAAATGTAAAAAGAGAAGAATTCAGAGACAATTTAATTCATAACATAAAGATTCAATTGGATTTCATCTTCCCCAAACTACATAGAAATCTAGCCTAGCATAGGGAATTCAAAAACAAATGAAAGCAATAAAGAATCCTCAAACTCCATCGGTATGATAGCTTCTAGAATCTTCAGAGTTCCCAGTGCATTCGTGAATTTCACCCACTCTCGATGCTCCAAAGCATGAAAGACGCGCTTTTTATCGCCAAATTAAGATTCTCTAATCAGAATTATCAAAAATCTTCATAATCTCTGTTGAAACCCCTTATTTATAGGTAATTAATCTATGCCCTAAGTGATTAAGAATTTTGGGCCTGGGTTGGACCGTGTCAGCGCGCCTTAGCGCTTATTAACGTGCTGAATTACCTTAATTCTTCTGTCTGAACGAGCTTTAATGCGTTGGTGCGTGCTTGAGTGCGCTCTTTGAAGGGGAATTTGCTTATATGAGCGCGCTTTAGCGTGCTGTAAAGCACTTCAGCGCACTCGTACAGAGGATTTGGCCATATTAGCTTCATTAGCGCGCTGTAGCACGTTGTGGGGCGCTTGAGCACGCTCCTCAACTTACTTGTGAATTGCATCAAGTAGACTTCCTTTGATCCTCAAGCTTCTCTTCGAAGTCCTTTACTTCATATTTGCACTAATTTTGTGTCAATTCACCTTCAAAACAAGCAAAATCAAAGTATGTTAGCTCAAATTTTGACTTTCATGCTTTTTCACTACAAAACCTAAGTTTTCATGCAATTGACTATGTATTTCTTGTATTATTTAGCCTTAAAACATGATAAACTAAGGGTTTATCATGTACTCATCCTGATCAAAAGGATAGGCCTTCAGTAAGGCAAGCAATTCAATTGCTTAACTTTGAAGCACCCTTTACTATTCTTTCATCAAGTCTGTCTCTACCAGCATACATTGAGGGTGCACTCAACTCGTGCACAACTATCAGTATAAATGCTTCAGAGGAAGGCCCAAACCAAAACATAAGCTTTAGTTCAAATATAAACACATCGGGTTCATATAGCGGATTAGGGACCCCAAGTGTTCTTGTTAGTAATTCTGTTAAAATAATGGGTGTAACTACATATATCATGTTATTTTTCTTGTGTTGCTATCTATCTTGTACTTTGGCTTTTGTGCTATTTTGGCTTTTATGCAACAACCCATTAGAGGTTACGTAGGGTCTAGCAATATTGTAAAAACTGGACCGGACAGGCCGGGTCGACCCGAAACCCGGTGAACCGGTCATCTGTCCGGTTCGGTTATCTTATTGGATCGGCCAAGTACCAGACCCAGTGCAACCCGACCAATTTTGATGAAAATCGGTGACCCGGCCAGTTAACCAGTGACCCAACCCAGGTTTTTTAAAAAAAATATTTCCAAAAAAAAAGTTTTAAAAAAAATCATAATATACATATTTGAGTGATTTGTTACTTATTGGCTTACATAAGTTATATACCTACAAATACAATACTAATATTATCCCAGTTATGCACTATGCAGAAAATTTTGATTTGATTTATAGTTAGAGATGACATTTACTGAACCTGAAACACTAATATTACAAGCATTATATATTTATTTGATCCTTTTATTGGGCAATAATGTATAATTTATTATTTTTTATATTAAAATATTTAGAATTTATATTATTTTTTCAGCTATTTGAGTATGTTTATAATTTTTTTAATATAAATTATAAAATTACATATAATCACTGGGTCATGCGATTCAACCAGTGACCCACTGGTTGAACTAGTAATTCAATGATCCAGTATCTTGATCAGATCAATGACCGAGCCGATTTTAATAATATTGGAGTCTAATGTGATAATGAAAGATGGCCCTATGTTTCCAAAACTCTTCTCTCTCTCAATTTATCTCTTCTTCCGCCTCTAATCTCCCTTCTTCTTCATCCCTAAAAAATGTCTTATTGCTACAATGGTACTTTTATTGACCCACTTTTCACTAGTCTCCATGCTCTTCCACAACAAGCCTCCCTTCAAAACGATGAAGCAATCTTTGAAGCCTATATGGTAGGATGGTTGTGTAACCGAAGAGATTAAATGACATTTAAAAGAAGATACTCTAATTTAATATATAAAAATAGATTTATAAATGAATTAACAATTAGTTTAATGTATAGTTATATTTTTTTCACATGATACAAGTTATAATTAATTTCAACATGAAGAGGATAATCCTCTGGTTGGTTAAGTTATTATAAAAATAAATTTAGGAAGAGACATGAAGTTAATTTTGATCTTGGTTTGCAACCGAAAGAAATGGTCCAAGTCACCATAACCAATGCCCACACCACACCTCACCTCACCTCTATTTGTCCGCATCCGCTTCCTCCATCATCACCATCACCATCATCTTCCTCTCTGCGCTTCCAACACTGATGAAACACACCGTCACCCTTTACACTCATAATGCTTTCCTTGTGCAGTGTCATGTTATATAACAATACCATCACATTACCTTTTTCGTGTTTTTCCCTTTTCAAAATTCCCATCTTTTCTCGAACTTGCATATCATCATCATATTCGTTTTTTTCCCTTTCTCGCTAAGATTGGTTTCTCTGTCCAAATCCCCACTTTCGCCTCAGATGCAGACTCTCCCTCCTCTCTGTTGCATCAGAGGTTTCTGCTGCTCTCCCCTTCATGGATTTGGTTTCCACCTTCAATTTTCTAACAGAGTTCGGATGTGGCTATGTTCTTCTCGGCTGCTTCTACAGGGTCCTTAACTTTCTCGGGATGTTTTTGATGTTCGGGTTCTGTTTCAAGGTTTTGCGCTTTGGTTGGCTTTCTAAGGGTTCGATACGCTTCCTCTGTGATTCTGGAGGCATACCCAGAATTCGTTTGTGCTTGGAGAAGGTCGTTTGGGAAGTGTCTAAGCCAAAGGTTGCACCTTTGGAAATGGGGTGTGACCAGAATTCGAATTCGTCGATCAAGAGGAGCTCTAATGTTGCAGGAGAGAAAGTGAGTGCTAATTCGGAAGATGGGTTGGAAGGGAGGGATGAGAATGAAAAAGAGGTTTGTGATGAGGACGAGGTGCTTGATGTAATGGCTCTGAGAAAATTTGTGAAGATTCAGAGGCAGAAAGCTAATGCAGCATGCGCAGAGCTTGAGGAGGAAAGGACGGCATCTTCATCGTCCGCTGAGGAGGCAATGGCAATGATTTTGCGCCTTCAGAATGAGAAGAGTTCGGCTGAAATTCAAGCCAATCAATTCCGTAGAATGGCCGAGCACGAGCTAGAACATGATCAGGAAGTGATTGAGTCATTGCAGTGGACGATCACGCAGCAAGAAACTCAGAGGAGTTTGTTGGAAGATCAGATGGGGATTTATAGGGAGGAACTGAAGCAATATCTGAGTGATGATGAAATAAACCAACTTGAACTTGATGTCAGTAAGGATTTGGAATCTGATCCAAATGATTCAGTAGCTAACTCTTCTGAAACCGAATCACAGACATTGGAAGTTCCGGAGGTTGTTATATAGAAATGAGTTTACGTCTGTTTTCCTCAGACATGTTTTGGTTTCTCAATGTAAATTGTATTTATTCATAATTTAATTAAAATAATGTTGAAGGCGTATATATATTTTCAGACTTTTTTTTTTTTTCGTTTTTTGTTTTATTTGTTTGCATGCTGGATTGGGCTCAACTTTCAGGTTCACCAGTATAGCTTTGTGAATAAATTTAATGAAGCCCTTAACGTTGCAAGAATCTGATGCTTGTGGGCTGGTAATTATGTACCATGCATGCAGTGCAGTGTGCAGTGAACATAGTGAGTCAGGCTCTTAACTTTTAGGTTTATTTAGTGAAGTTTTATTGAATAAATTGCATTGGAGTACTTGTGTCTTAAGGATCTGATTCTGATGCTTGCAGGCTGGGATATGCAGTTGACAATAATGTATGAGCTGTTTAGTCTTAAGGATTAGGTTTAGTTGTGTGATTTTGTTGAATGAAATTCATTGAAACACTTGACATTGCAAGTATTATTTGCAATAGACAGTAAATTAGCTTCAACTTTCATGTTTACTTGTGTAATTTTGTGATGTTTCATTGGAGCAGTTAAAATTGCAAGGGCCTCACACTTGTTGGCCTGTAACTATATATGCAGTCGAGAGTGATTATTTTCTATGGTTTTTTGGAAGTTTTATGCTGTCAGTTATTGGAGTACCAACTAGGATTTACATGATCATGTACTGTATATGCAGAGTAACTTTTCTTCAGTTGTGCTCTTTCTCTCTTGGTTAGGGAGGGGTTTATGAATCTTGTTGCAAACACAAATAACTTAAAGTAGTGGAATTCACGAATGTGTATCTGCATATCTTACCGCCGAAAGATAAAATAATCAGTGTAATTTTTTCTCTTTCTTTCTTTATTATCATTCATCCATCTTTATATGGATATGATTCTCCCACATGATATGGTATATTTAATTTTTTTAACATGAGAAGCAAATTCTTTTAACATCAATATGGTATATTTAATTTTTTTAACATGAGAAGCAAATTCTTTTAACATCGATATGGTATAATTAATTTTTTAAATTCTTTTACGACACAACCCGAATAAAATCTCAAAGTTTCTCAGGTTACTTGACAATTATCATCTCTTCCCTTCAACAGCAACAAAATTCTGAGTCAATTGCGGGGTTTTACCTCTACCAAATTATAAAATTGAGCATATTATATTCTAATTTATTGTAATTTGTAACATCTCAAGCGTTGACGAGGGCGGGAAGTGATCGCCGGTGCGAAATGACATGGACAAGGAGCGGCTCCAGGCTTCCAACGGGGGGTTATATGAACGAACGAATCGAATCAACACCCGAAAGAGAGAGATTCCAAAGACTGTGTAGGTATGAGACTGCACAGTTTGTGATAGCTTCTAAGAATTAATTGATACTACCTATAAAGCACACTGAAAAGTCTCGTGTTAATATGTGGGGATAATCATTGATTCTTGAAGCGGTGAAACGTTACATAATTCATTGAAATCTCCATGCCGCTGTGTGACTCGTGACAAAAGGAATAAAAAAACCATAAATCATATTTAAAAATAGTAATGAACATGAGCTCATAGAACCAAAGGACCCATACCCAAACATGAGAAATAAGAAATAATTAGCCCAGGCCTGGACTTAACATGAGAAATAAGAAATAATTAGCCCAGGCCTGGACTTAAAGCAGCTAATGACACGGATAGATCTCATTTCCATTCTGGCCCCAACTAATTTTGGTTCATTTTGCTGGCACTGCCATAGCTGCATATGTACATTGTAATACCGACATATTTTTAATATAGAGAATATATTTTTCACATGCAATACATATGAAACCTATTAAAGAGAAGAGAGAAAATAATAAAAATAATATATCACACCCATTTTTGTGTGTGCATGAGTTATCTTATATAACCTAAGAGATATACTTCCTATAATGTGGCGAAGCAAGTTCTAAGGTTAGATCAAAGTTGAACTGGGATTGGTTTGGAATTTTGCGTCTACCTATATATTTTATAAATAATGACAATATATATGTATGGGTGCAAAGTATTAGACAACAAGATAAGAATAAAAATATTTGAAATGACAATCAAAATTTTGCATCATTATTATAAATGCATATATAAGGCATAAAATAAACTGTACAAATGGATAAAAACAAATACAAGACATGAATTGTACAAATAGATAAAAACTTAATAAATGCAAATACAAGGCATGAGTTGTATAAATGGATAAAAACTTAATAAATACAAATAAGGCATGAATTGTACAAATAGATAGAAACATAATAAATGTAAATATTTAAAATTGATTCGAAATATTTAAAACTGATTCGGATATTGTTATTTGAAACTAAATCAAATATTCTTGTCCTTATGTTGTCCTATATAAAGAGAGATTCTTATGTGTTCTTGAAGCAAGAAATGGTTTTTGCTTCATACCTTAATACGAATTATTTTAATTATGAGTTATTATTGTCTTTTATTGTAATAAATTAAAATAAATTTTTAATGATATAATTGTTATAATATACATTTAATGCTACATATGAAAAACATTTTCTTTCACCAAAAACACATAAAAATTTCTCATGTGTTAAATATATAAGTAAAACTACATGTATAAATGACTCTATATAGCTTCAAAAACTTTTGTAATAGGGTCTCTTACCTATTTTAATGTTAGACCCTACATAACCCAACATTATATCCTATCCCATTATTATAAAATTAACCCATTAAACTTTGTCACAATTTTCTTCTACTTTTGAATTATTAATTCAGAATATGTTGAGTAATGATAGTTACACAAATATTTTGCACATACAAGTCTCACATAAGTAAATAAGTAAATTAATCTGCGGTGAAACTGATTTGATCGTTCAACCACCTAAAAATCTCTATAAGAAGGATAGTTGGATAAGAGAAATATTAATAATACATTATTTGACCTATTCTTTTTGGCACACATGTGTGCTTTACTAAATAAAAAATGAGTAAATTATTTAGTTGAAATTCATCCAATAATAAAAGAGTAGGTCAAAAAGTGTCTTAATAGCATTTCTTACTAGCTATATTTATAGCCAATGAATTTAAAAGAAAACATTAGAAAATTTGTGGTTTGTAATTATATATTTAAAGTTTCGTTTTTTCTGTATTTAATATAGATAAGTTATTTATATTGAGCCAAAAATGATGTTATTTTGAGATGGATATTAAGGTATTTTATAATTTTAATTTAATTTAGAATTATAATAGTCTTTATCATTATAATTTTTTAATTTTTCAACGTAAAACGACGTTATATTAAGAGTAAATGCAGATAACTTATCTGTGTAGAAATATTTTTTTGCTATATTTAAATTATTTTATCCTATTCCAAAGCTTTTTATAATCAAAATTTCTTTAATTCTTTTATTTAATTTTTTAAATTAATTAAAACCAAATTTGCATCAAGTGACTAAATAGTTAAATAACCGGATAAGATTACCAAAAAAAAAATAAAAAAATTAACCGGATAAGAACCTGGGAAGAAATAAAAAAAATAAAATAAAAAATATTTGAATGTCTATCACTATCAATTGTTTTGTCCTTTCTAATTTCTATATGTTTGACACAGCTTTACGATTCCAACTAGTGTCAGTGTTTTGAGTCAGTTGGTGTCTTTGGTTTCGCTTCCTAAGTTGTCACCCTTAATTTCTTCAAACACGATTCATAGCACAACGTAAGGAGAATGTTGCAGCTTTCTATTCAACGAGGTAAGTCTACAAAATCGGTTGCTGGTACTCGTTTGCTTGGGTGCCCAGATAGATGGTGATTGATGATCAATACTTGAAATTTGGATTCTGATGAAGAAAAGTTTTGAATTTTTTATTGTTTTGCAGTAAAGAAGTTGAACTTTCTGAGGCCTCAGATCTCTGCTTTGGGAATTTCCTATATGTCAACAGTTGCTGAGCCATCTTCCTGTAAGCGGAATCCTCCGGTAAGCTCAAGCTTCCCTTTGGATTCTCGGAAAATTTGCATTCAAGGGTATCTGTTAACTGCCTCAGTGGTTTGCAAAAATCGAAGCTTTAGTGCTGAATTCTTTTTTTTTTTCTTCTTCAGACAAACTGCTGTAAAAAGGATATTATGTGATTGTATTTTGCATTCGTTTCATTTTGCTTTGACTTTGAAGTTTGTTAATTGAACTAGTTAGTTAGGACTAGTCTGTCAAGTTGAATGAATAAAAGGGTATCTTTTTGGCTTACTTAATCTACAGTGATCTATCAACAAGTTGAACAGTGATTTTCTAGCTTTAAATCTGATTCTTGGTTAGATGCTTTTTCTTACACATAAAATTGTTTGTTTCTGTTTCTTTTAAATCATAAATAGTTATTTTGTTATTATACTATTTACTTTAGGTCCTATATGTAATTTCATATTATGTCATAAGAAAATTCAGAGTGGAACTTGACAATAAGTCAGTTGGATTTTACATAAATTCACTATGTGTTATTGTCATAGACCGCTGCTAAAGAGATTTTTTAACATATCATATCCCCTTCTTCTTTTGATTGTATTCTATCAGAGGGTTCCAAATCTTATTGGTGGCAGTTTTCTTGACTCAAAATCATCATCTTTCATCGATGTTATAAACCCAGTAAGTGTATTTTTTAAGTTTTATACTGAGTTTACGGTTGTATCACTTTTTTGTGGTTTTGAGAAATGAAGACTTCTAATATTTCAATAATCTGATCATAGGCAACCCAAGAAGTTGTTTCACAAGTTCCTTTGACCACAGATGAAGAGTTTAAAGCTGCTGTATCTGCAGCAAAGAAGGCACTTCCATCATGGCGTAACACTCCAATTACGACACGCCAACGTGTTATGTTGAAGCTCCAGGAGCTTATACGCAGAGATATGGTAAGCATTTTAGAACATTCTATGATTCTGTTACATTCATTTGCAAACATAGAGACACCCATACCAGCAAACATACTGTTAATAGATTCTATCATATCACTACGTTGTAATTGTTTTAGGATAAACTTGCTCTGAATGTGACCACCGAACAAGGAAAGACATTAAAGGATGCTCAAGGAGATGTATTTCGTGGTTTAGGTTGGTCTTTTTAATACATCACTTGAGAAGATTTTGTAGTGAGATAATGATTTTGTTCATAATTTTTGGTAATGCAATCATCTGATATTTGAATTTATGTCATTTAGAGGTGGTTGAACATGCTTGTGGGATGGCAACTCTACAAATGGGAGAGTATGTTTCCAATGTATCACATGGAGTTGATACTTACAGCATTAGAGAACCACTTGGTGTTTGTGCTGGTATTTGTCCTTTCAATTTTCCTGCAATGATTCCCTTGTGGGTAAGAAGTCTTCCACCCTTTGGGTGGGTTTTTGGCTATATAATTAATCTTTCACTTTTTAGTAAATGGCCATGCCTTTATTTCATACTTGCTTGGTCATCTCATTCATATCAGCATGCATGAGACAGAAAAAGTCTACTTTATAGAATGATCCAGAAACATTTAGCTGGAATAACTTTGTTTTTGTCTCTATCCATATTATGTCATTTCTCACAGGAATGTAATGTACATAATACTGCTATGGTCATCACATCAGATTTCAAATGTCTGTCATCTGTCTGCAGATGTTCCCAATGGCAGTTACCTGTGGTAATACCTTCATTCTAAAACCATCAGAGAAAGACCCAGGTGTTGCTTTCAACTAAATTTTGGTTGTCTCTCTATATACTCTTCAATTATCTCCTCCATCTGGAGCATAGTGTAAATTGTGATGGAAAAATGGACTCTGATATTTTTATTCATTCAAAGCAGACTCAAGGCATTTCAAACACATCAGCCTAAACTGTACTGTGAAGTGAATAACATGAGTTGAAACATTCTGAATGAAATAATTGCCTCTAGCCCTCTATAATTTTTTTGATATTTCATGCCTTTGTTTCTCATTACATATAAATTTTTGGCTGCGATCTTCACTAAAGAATTTTTCAAAAACCACATGGACAATCTTTATTCAATAATTTTGAATAATAGATAGCAACCACTCAAATCTTTTCAGTCCAGCCTGCTCTTGCACTTAATAAATTTAGATTTATTTAAACTGAGGAAGGAAATGCTACTTTAGCAAGAAATAGGAAAATAAATATTGGTGTCTTTTGACAAAGGCCATGTTTCTGCTTCACATTGGTCATCTTATTTAAAATATTTTCAGAATAGATATATTTATTAGGAGGAAGTTGTCAGATGTTACACTTTGTACTAAAATTCTATATTAATTTTCCTTAGTAGTAACTCATAAATATGGTCTTGTTTATCCACCTATTCATTTAATACTGAATATTATCGTCCATCCGTTAGTTTTTCTTCCCTACCCTTGTAATAGTATATGCAGCATAGTCCTATGGTATGGCACACACAATTATTGGTAGAACTCAAAAGTTTGCATTCATCTGTCCACGTTCATGATTCATCATCATTTTTGGTTACTTACGACATGGTAGAGAGAAATAAATTTTAATGTAATTAGATGTTATATCTTAAATCCAGATCACCTAGTGGTGTAATGCTTGGTTGTCATCTGAAATTCGTTGTTTTTCCAGGTGCTTCTGTAATGCTTGCAGAATTAGCATTGGAGGCTGGTTTGCCTGAGGGAGTCTTAAATATTGTTCATGGAACCCATGTATGCTATCGACCCATATTTTTGTTATTCACCTGTTTCTTGTGATATTTGCCAAGTAAAGGTGCTCATGGGCTTATTTGACATTTGGTGATTTCATCATATATTCGAGTTTTAGATCCGAAAGTTGCATAGAATATTGTACCATACCAAAAATAGTTGATACTATAGTAGAATTGATTTTATCCTAAAACAATAGCTCCAAGGTTAATGACTTTGTCATATTATGATGTGTAAAGCTCTAATTGTGCTTTTTATTTTCTCTTGGATTGATGTTCTTATCATACAATTGGTTACAGGATATTGTGAATGCTATTTGTGATGATGACGACATCAAAGCCATATCTTTTGTTGGTTCAAATGTTGTAAGTACTAATTTTTCTGTTTATTATTTTTTCCAGTTACTAAACTAATGTTTTTAGTCAAAGGCAATCCTGTTACATGTGTGCAAAATTGAATCATTTTTGTGTTTTGACTGTGCTTAGATATAAAGATAGGTAGAAGAGAGGAAGTGATTCAAATACTAAGATTTTGCAAACGGTAGTCCCCCTTTATATTGCTACATGTGCTTTTTTGATGTTCTTATTTTGTATTAAAGGCTGGAATGCACATATATTCAAGAGCTGCAGCTAAAGGGAAACGCATTCAGGTAAGTGCACTTAGTTTTTTCTTCCCCTTAGTCAAATTGTTGGCTTATATGAAGTTGGGAAAATAATAAATGTTGTTTTCAGTCTAATATGGGCGCCAAAAATCATGCAATCATCATGCCAGATGCTAATGTTGATGCCACTGTAAATGCTTTAGTTGCTGCTGGTTTTGGTGCTGCTGGGCAAAGATGCATGGCACTCAGCACAGTTGTTTTTGTTGGAGGCTCACAACATTGGTATCATACTTTTTTCTGTTTTGATTTAATTTATGTTTATTATGACTTCTGTAGTAGCTTCTTACTCTAAGCTCCTACTATAGATGATTGTTCCAAAATATTCTGGATGTATTTGGTGTGTGCCAAACTGAATCATCACTCCTCCTTGACTAAGATATAGTATGACTTCTCTGTAGAGAAAGTTTTTGCAATTACTATATAATCACAAATTGTGTATATTGTCATCATAATGCCAATATTAGAACCACCAATTAATTATGTCCATCCCATTTAATAATTCTGACAAGATTGTCCAGAGAAAATGCTGTTCCGAGTATTTGGACTTCCTTGTGATGCAGATGTATGGGGAAATTGAATTAATTTTTATTTTTTTGGCTTTCAAAAATTGACTTTAATGATGTTCTGGAAATTTTTATATAATTGCATCCTTCAAAATATTTGTTCAGGGAAACTAAACTTATAGAGCGTGCCAAAGCTCTTAAAGTAAATGCTGGATCTGAACCTGATACCGACCTTGGTCCAGTCATCAGCAAACAGGTTTGTTTATTATTCTGGGTTTACTTTTTCCACACTGGATTTGAACTAAAAATTTTAATAGGAAATCCTGAGTATCATTCAAGAATTACTGGCATGGTATTCAATGTATTTCATTTCCACACTGATTGTGGTGTATATTTTAGCTAATTGTGTTTCTCAAATATTCTTACTGGCTGCACAGGCAAAGGAGCGAATACACAGATTAGTTCAATCTGGAGTTGAAAGTGGTGCCAGACTACTGCTTGACGGAAGAAATATAGTGGTAGTTTTTATATTTGTAACTGTTTTTTTCAAACACTGGTTGAATATATATATATATATATATATATATATATATATATATATATATATATTTTAAAAAGGGAAAACAGTTAAGAGATAATGAAATATTTTATTGCATGTAATTTGATTCAGTCAGTAACTAAGCTCGTGGTCAACCAATCAAATACTAGTTAGAAAAATAGAATCTTTTATGCATATATCTCTTTTTTATTACCTTGTAAAAGTCCCACGGTTGTCACGCTTGGTAGCAGATATGAAGCCAAAGTGCTTCAACGTGCTAACACACGTGGTTCGGCATGAAACACACTAAAAGAGAAACTGGGAAAGTAAAATAGAAAATGTAAGGAAATACATTTTGGTGCATAACTGTATTCCACAGAATAAAACATTCCTTGCATAGGCGTTTGTTTTTCCATATGAATGGTAGGTTCTTTTCTTACGCATTATTTTGTCCCATTTCTTTTGCCCAATTTTAGGGATTGCTTATCAATTCATATGTGTGTGGCAAGTAGGTCCCAGGATATGAATCTGGCAATTTTATTGGCCCAACCATCTTATCAAATATCAGCACCGACATGGAGTGCTACAAGGTATTTTCTCACTAACATCCAATCTTAACGTGTCTACTTAAAGAATTCCCAGAAAATAGACTTGAAGTTTAGATCTATATTAAACTTGACTTTGTCTAACATTGCCCTTGCAGGAGGAAATTTTTGGCCCAGTTCTTCTTTTCATGGAGGTGTGTCTGTCTTTTTATAAGAAAATAACAAAAGTATAATTCTTGGTAAAATATTTCTTGATAAGAAAAATTAACCCCTCAGTTGCTTAATGATGTCCAAAGAATGGTTAATCAGTAACCATTTGAGGGGTCAATTGTTTCTAAATTATTCTTGAATCAATCAATCTTGGATTTTTCATTTTGACTCAATATGAAGATCTGCTGATACATTGTTTTTCTGTTGTCTTTATAACTTCAGGCTGATAGCTTGGAAGAGGCCATTAACATTATCAACAAAAACAAGTATTTGTTAACAACCCACTATTGTCGTTGCCTTTTTTTAAGCGGCTATTGATTTCTTACTCTGAATTTTACAACAGGTACGGAAATGGTGCTTCTATATTTACTACATCTGGTATTGCAGCAAGGAAATTTCAGACTGAGATTGAGGCTGGACAGGTAATGTGTCCAAAGTGGGATGTTGAGTTCTGCATATTCTCTTGGAAGGACATTAATAATGCTGATGAATATCAACCATTATATGCATTGGGGTCTGCTATTTTTTTTTATTTTTATTTTTGAGTAGAGACTCAAGGGTGTCCCCACCCCGAAGGATGAGACTAATCCCTCCATGGCTTGTAGTGTTTAGGATTCACCACTGGCCCCAAAATGCTTCTCCTAGGCGTCGAACACATGGCCTCATTGGCCACAAGAATCCGACCCCTTCTACAGTCCACTTACCAACTGAGCTACACCTAGGGGTTTGGGGTCTGCTATTTGTTAACCAATCGCTTGGAATTTTACCTTGGACTAGATTCTCTCTGCCACAAATAGGAAAATATATTTGATAGTGATACTCTTTATAGATAATGACTTGTCACTGCATTTGGACCAGGTTGGCATCAATGTTCCCATTCCAGTTCCTTTGCCCTTTTTCTCATTTACTGGCAACAAGGCATCATTTGCTGGAGATCTTAATTTCTATGGTAGAGTGATTTCTCCCGAAGCTGGTTCTTCTGCATTTACTTATCACTTAACAGTATATAGGAGTTACATTTTGCTAATGATATAGGCTATACCGTTTGATTTGAATTTGATTTGCTTTGTTGAATTTTACAGGCAAGGCAGGGGTTAACTTTTATACACAAATCAAAACAATAACCCAGCAATGGAAGGATTCAGCTGGCGGTAGCAAGATTAACATGGCAATGCCAACTTCTCAAAAATCTTGATAGCTAGAGTAAACCTTTGTACTCTTGAATAAAATGTCAAGGTCCCTCTCCTGTTATGCATTTTCCTTAATTTTCTTCTACGTCGTGTCTCCATGTGGACTATATGATTCTCTAGCTTATTTTCTAAAGTGGGGGCTTATTTTAGAGGAACCGAATCCATTAATATGATATCCATCCATTTAAAATTGTCATATCAGTTGCTTCAGGGTGAGCTTTAAAAGAAAAGAAAAAAAGGTTCAAGTTGAATCAGCTTTGAGGTGTATGGATACCACCTAAATGCAGATTTCCCCCCGAATTTGGTGTTAGTTTCCTTTCTTTCTTTCGTTTTTAAGCCTCAATATCGTGTCTCCAAGTCATTCAGGTGATCTTCATACATTGACTAGTTTATCCTGGACCAGGAAGCTATTATTTATTTGTTAAATATCCTACCGCTGTGTAGGTCATACGTACAATGATAACCAAAGCTGTACAACAAAATACTTAACAATAAATCCAACCCAAAGTTGAAGTATTTTTATTTTTATTTTTTTTAGATGAGTTGCCCTGTCTAATAAGTCAATGGGTTTTTAGTTCAATTAATGGATCACTGGTTGAATCAGTTAAATTGAATTTATATAAAGATATGTAATAAATATATAAATATATATAATATGACAATCAAAGTAATTTGGCTTAGTAGTTAGTATTTCACCTAGTTTATGACCGGTTCAACGGTTCTTGTGATTAATATGTAGTTTCTGATAACAATTTTAAAAGTTTTTATATTTACTTAAACAAAATAAATTGATATATATTTAATGTTATTAAATCTGGATCGGTCCTTAATTCAATTTGGGTATGGGCCACTGAATTGGTTAAATTAAATTTTTATAAAAGTATGTAATTTATTAATATTTACTTAAATTAAATTGACTTTATATAAAGATATGTAATAAACATTTTGACAACCAAAGTGATGTAATTTAGTAGGTAGCATTTCACTCTACTTCCCTTAGTTGCCATGTTCAAATCCACTACAATTGTGATAGAATATTTTGTCATCAGTGATCCAGTTTCCGGTTCAACTTGTATTTGAGTGCCAATCAAGGTGTCAATAAAGGCAGCAGTAGTTAATAGGCTGCAATACCCATGTCAAGCAATGAATAAAAGAGTTCATGGTCTTCAACAATCAACATCATGGTAAGGTTCACGGCTAGGGTAAAGGTTCATATTGTTAAAATGTTGAACATGTATAAATCAACACAAATGTAAAGTATGCGCCTGGTGATGGAGTTTTCAATAATTTACTTCAGCCAAAGTACACTATTGAACTATAAATTCCAAAAAAAAGAAGTAGCATTGAAAGATAAATATATGAATCCTATGGAACAAGGTAGTCATACAACCAGAATATAAGATAGATATCAACAAAGCAGGCTCTTAACCTGAACTTCCTTTCAATATATAAGCAATGTCCATATTTGCCATTTAAGCTATGAATCTACAGACTTCTCACCCAAAATTAATACCGTTAGTGTAAACTCATTTACCTCTTTACAAACGTATACTTTAGATTAGATTTTAATTTGAGCCATGTGCTTCCTCCCTTTTAAGTGAGAGGCCATGTCAAGCTCACTAGTGCAATTGACATTACAAACTTCACACCTTAATATGGAATGATTCATCCTTACAGGTTCACCAACATTCTTTTGCTGTTCTTGCACCTTCGAATGATGCATGACTGTTTTCCCTTTCAAGCCGTTGTTAACTGTACTCTCCCCATTCGTGGTCTTGGAATTAAGCTGATTGTTTATGTTCTTCTGTTTCGATTCCTTTTTGGACTGATCGGTTTTCATCTTCTGCGGAACAGGTTGATTCTTTGCTTTAAGAGCTTCACAAGTAGCCCTGTGTTTCTTCCCATGCAGGTGGAAATTCAAGGTTTTTTCACTTGTAGTTGTTACCAGACATACAGCACAAGTCCACTCTTTCTGCACTTCTTTATGTGTAGAGCTCTGAAGAAGCTCTCCACCAGCACTGTCTTTCCCTGTTGCTATTCCTTTAGTTTCCATCATGGTTGATGAAGCATTCTGACTTGGTGCAAGGTTAGGCATAACAGGGATATCCTGAAATATTCAAGATTAGCATAGAGGTGAAGTGCTTATTGTAAGCAGACACAATAGGATTAGAAGATTGCACATTAACGTATAACTATGGTTATTCATGCATATAAGAGAGGAGATAATTGAAATTCAATAACTCTTCTTCGGAGAAGAGGTGTGAATATCATTAAGCTTTTTAACTACATGTAGAAAATAACATACGATGCTTTCATCTTTTACGGATAGCAAACTTCAAAAGTGCTGAGCCATTTTCTTGTCGCTCATATTTGTAAATATTTGTTCCCAAATAATTTTAACCTTTTCTTGCCATCAAAAGAAAAAGAAGAAACGAAAGAGCAATGTCCAAAAAGATCCCGTTAGTAATAAAACAACTATTGTAAAGAATCAATCCAACTCAAAAGCTTTAGTTGTTAGATGAGGGCCTCTTTAATGGTTTATATTATACTCTAACACGCCTCCTTATACAAGAGCCCATTGGGCATAAAGGGTGGATGATGCATCAGACCTAACTTACCTGTACTAAAAAATTCCACAAGAGAAAGTGAGGATTGGTAAGGATCAAACCCGTGACACTGAGATTTTGATGCCATGTAAAGAACCAATTCAACCCAAAAGCTTAAGCTGTTAGCTTAGCTTCTTTAATGATTTATATTATGTTCTAACAATTATAATCACTGTAGAATTAATTAAAAGAATGCAAAGTAGAAGAAAGAACAAAAGAGCACACAACTAATTCACACAGTTAGAAGAAATCCTCTCAAATCAATGGCCACACTGGTTTTTTACTATGTAATGAGTGTTAACATAGCAAGAGATGGCTAGCTGTCATTTAAATTCAAGAAGATTATGACAATATTTATTTTTAGAGGAAAATACATAAACACCTCTAATAAAAATAAGTATTAATGAAATTTGTTGCCACCAACAACAACAATCACAACAAGTATGACTTCCAAAATGATGAATCATGACCACATCCACACAATCCTATGTACTTATAAGCTACATCTTTCACAATTGTACTTCTTTATAAGCAAAACCTTACTTGCTTGCCTGTAGGAATTTCCTTTTTCTCAATCACCTCCAAATCTTTGATGTCTTTGTGCTCTGTTTGGAGCTTTTTCCCATTTGTCTGCGCAAGATGCTCTTTCAATAAGCATTCCAAATATCACAAGGATATTTGGATAGATAGAACTAACTCATACAAGAACTTATAACAAAAATTATATTAATGTCACAACTGCACTAGTGACATCAAAACTTTACCTGTTGCATTTCTTTCATATCAGTAGTTCTAATTACATTTGTTTGCTCCACATCCAGTTTATTCGTTGTGCTATCTTTGATGTCTTTCAATAAGCATTCCAAATATCACAAGGATATTTGGATAGATAGAACTAACTCATACAAGAACTTATAACAAAAATTATATTAATGTCACAACTGCACTAGTGACATCAAAACTTTACCTGTTGCATTTCTTTCATATAAGTAGTTCTAATTACATTTGTTTCCTCCACATCCAGTTTATTCGTTGTGCTATCTTTGATGTCTTTGTGCTCTGTTTGGAGCGCTTTCCCATTTGCCTGCACAAGATGCTCTTTCAATAAGTACTCTAAATGTCACAAGGAGACTTGGATATATTTAATTAACTCAAATAAGAACCTATAAAAAGAATAATATTAATTTCACAACTATGCAAGGTCAGGGTTTGAATCCGGCAAACAGTTTCTTCTAGATTCAAACAGTTTCTTCTACATCATACATTGCGTTCTTCTATAGAAGAAAAAGAAGTGTTAGCTCAAATTTACAATTCTCAATGCCAGACATTTTCATAGAGACATACACAAACTTGCTTCCCTAAATTAATTTTCTCGAGTTATAACAAGAGGAGACTTTAGAGGGCGAGTCTTGAAGCAGTGATAAAATTGCTTCTTTGTGATCGGAAGGTCATGGTTTCGAGTATGGAAAATATCCTCTTTGCAAAAAAGTAAAACAAAAGACTGCATTCAATCAACCCTCACCCCTACCCGCGTAAAGTCGGGAAGACTTGTGCACTGGGGATAACATTAGGAGACTTTTAGCCTTTGAAGGAGCATATCTTGAATACTACTGGAATAGGTACTCCTTCACTAAAAGTAGGAAAAGTTTGGGCTCATGTGCTATTAACCAAAAGGAAGTGGGTAGAATAGGTGGGTCATTTTTTATCAACTTTAGAAAATGATGTGATGAGTTTTCAGTTAGGGGAGTTACTGAAGAGGGTTTGTACTTGAAACCATTTATACAGCATACTGCCACGTAGCTGTTTACCTTGTCAGCAATGAGTTTCTCTAAGGCTTCAATTCCATTCTCTTTTATATATCTCTCTGCGTGCAGTAAAAAGTTTTCTTTCTTAGCAAAAAACTTCCTCCAGTTATTTAACCTGCTTGTGACTGCATGAGGTTTCATGGACATACGTGAGCCAAAAAGGTTATTATAGACATAAGAAGCTCGTCCAAAGTCTGGTATGATGAGCCAGAAGATGATCATTAGCTTAAGGTAAGGCCAGAACTGGAACCTGATGTTGAACATGGGATAAAGAAGTTAATCAAATCCACAGATTGATTAAAACGAAAATGAAAAAGAGAAATCATTTGCTGCAACTAATTTTATTTAATAATAATCACATTCAATAAATTTTAAGAAGCCATTAGATGATAAAAGCGGAAAAAATATGGTAAGAAACCTAAGTTGAAATGAGTATATCTACACGCATAATTTTGTTTCTGCAAACTAGGTTTAGTTCAACAGAAAGTCAAATGACATAAATCAGGTTCTTAATCCCAGTCAAAGAAAATGAAGTTATTGAATTCTTATTATTGTAATAACAATGCTCTTTTATATTACAGGGTAAATGATTTACCATTGAAGAAGCCTCAGAAAAGCATACTCGAAGAGATATATTAATGAGAGAAGTATCCAGTATGAGATCAAATCCCTAGTTTCTGCATGGGAATCAGTCTCGATTGCTTGTACGGAAGCACATCTGCCAAGAACACATAAAAGTAAAACCATAATAACAAACAACAAATTAAAGCAGCATACTAAAAACAAATAAGTGAAACAATAATTTAAAAGGTTGCAACTTTTTTAGCACACTAGACACCCAGTAAAGCAAACATAAATAAACAAAAAATGGGTAAGAACATACATGCAGAAAACATTGCAAGTGAAAACTGAAAACCAACAGTCTTGAGGATTGTTCACAATGAAACAGAAAAAGGGAGAAACTTACAGAGGATACCCCAGAGCAAGAAGAGGCCTAGAAATTAAGGGGGAGAGAAACAAAAGACAGTTAATTAGCTTGCATGGAGATGGAGACGACCAAAAGGGTGAAGACAAGAAGAATCACTATATAGTAAGAGACCATCTACATCATTAAACAAGTTAAAATGAATGTATATGTGCACTGATAAATCTTTTACATGTGATCTAAGTCAGAAATATCAACCGAGCAAAACCAAGCCAATGAAGGATATGCATGCATACCATGCGAAATGATCAACGCATTTTAGAGCCAGCTTGAGAAACCACAAAGAAGCCATCTTGGATTCAATTCAACCTCCTTATTGCTGTTGCCTGAATCCACGCCAGAGAAAGAGAAAGGAAACAAAATGATCAAAGTTGTGTGGAAAGAACTTGAAACAGGAAGTCGTCTTGAGTAAGTCAAGAACTTATTTTTAAAGTAAGCGGAAAAGCGAAGGGGCACAGACAATGGTAGCCCCACGTATTCCAAGTACTTCTAACTTTTCGAAATCCGTGTCCGTGACAAAATAACAAAAAAACTAAATTTGCATACCAAAAGTTTATATATTATTAACCGATGAAAATAGGGAACATCGATCAAAATGTTATTTTTTGACAAAATTTTTATCTAAATATCACATAAATAATATTTTTTTATCAGATTGTCACGTGATGTAATTAGCTACGACTAGTAGCAAATTATGTTCGCCAATAATTTTGTGACACGTGGAATACTTTTGTAGGAAAAAGTTGACTGGACTAAGTTTACTATCAGTGATAGCGAATTTGGTATGCAATATAGTCATGTGTCACAAAATTATTGGCCACGAAATTCGCTACCAGTAGTAGCGAAATATGACACGTGATAGTCTGATAAAAAATACTGTTAACGTGACATTTGAGTAAAAAATTTATCAAAAAGGTGAAACTTTGGTCACTGTGTTCCTGATAATAGCACAATTAGTGTTTTAATACATTAAGAGCTGAACAGATGAGAGTACGAATATATGTTTAATCTTTCATAATATTAATTTTGGAAGAGTTTAAAATTTTAATATTAAACATGCTCCAAACTTCGAATTAGCCTATAAAAAACCTATGAAATTAACGAGGATAATCTTCCAAAAAAAAAGTTTATATATTATTTTTATACTTTATTTGTTTCAGAAAATTAAAGAAATAATATACTAAAAAAATATGGTTTCATTATTAGTTTATCATTTAAAAAAGTTATATCAGTTGATTTAAAATTTTGAATGTACAATTGCTATGTAAAAAAAACCGTGTTCCTTTATTAATTCTCTTTTTTTTTTAAACGTATCTCTCTCTTAGTTTTTGGTACGAATTCTCGGGATACTGACCAAAATGTCAATGTTCACCAATTTTTTTACCTAAATGCCACGCGAACAGTGTTATTTCTCAATCTGCCACGGAGGCAAGTTCGCTTCTGACACAAGCGACCTCGGTTTGCTGACGTGTCACATTTTTAGTGGATAACAAGTATTAAATTTAAATAAAAAAATTAAAAAAAATGAAGTTCGCCTGCCATGTAGGCGAACTTGATTAAAATATTGTTGAAACCGAGGTCGCCTGTATCAGAAGCGAACTCTGACACCACCAGGAAGCTGACACATCAGCAAACCGAGATCGCTTGTGTCAGAGGCGAACTTGCCCTGTGGCAGATTGGAAAATAACACTGTTCGCGTGGCATTTAGGTAAAAAAATTGGTGAACAGTGGCACAATGGTCACTCCCCTGAATTCTCTCCTATTTTTTTTATTTTTTATTTAGTACAATTCTCTCCTACTTTATTAGCGGAATATGAGAAATCACGGTTGTCACTTGCCTACTTTAAAGGTACCACTTCATCCTTGATTCATTAATCTCACATTCTCACAACTTTTTATTTTATTTTATTTTATCAAAGCACAAAGAAAGAAGTGAAAGAACAAAGGAACAAAGGAACAAAATCAGATGGAAGTCGAGTATAGTTTGCAGTTTGCACACCCCCATTTATAATATTTTTAATCCAAGTCAACTTAATCCAATTCGAACATGATCTTATTTCATTTTCAGGATTCGAATTGAGACGTCTAATTTAAAGAAAACAAGTTTATCATCCCTTGAATTAACAATTATTAATTCCTTTCTTTTTAAGATAAGCACCAAATGAATCACTCTTTCCCAATAAAATTCTCAAACCAATGAGGGTTAGCATACAGCTAGAATCTTCCGCCCTATATTATTTGGTTTTGCTTTTTGATTGGTGATATATATTATATAATTTTACTATGGACCCTCACTGAGATTGATGGTTTTTTCATGGAGTGGGTATACAGCTTCTCTAATCTAAACTTTTTTTTTTTTTTTGTAAATATCTAAACTTTTTTATTACCAAAGCAAAAGCGAAAAAGCTCTCGATTTCCAGGATTATGAACCCATATTTACGATCATTAGTCATCTTGCGTTTCAACACACAAATTGCTTCACTACATTGCACTAAGTTCAGCAAGCAAATTTGTCTCATGTCTAATGCACCCTAAGAACCTAATGATCCGAACACCATTAGTAACATCCCTACACCAATTAGACGTATCATGGTTACCGAAAAAGTGTATCATTAATGTGCTTTTTTTTTTTACAAAGACTTGATGAGGAGAGAACACACTCATGATCTTGACCAAAACCCAGTCTTTCCCAATGCAAAAATGCTTTCGTTGGAATTGTTGCAAGATACATCTTGAATGACAAAAATATCTTGGATACTACGAGAGTAATAAAGACTCAATGCATCTTTTATTAATTATGAAAAAAAATAATTATTTTTCTCATTTTATCCATTCTTATATGGTTTTTTTTTTTAAATCTTCACACTTTTCTATTTTTAGTAAAGAAGAACACACTCCTGAAGCATCAGTCTAATTATTTTTTCTGGATTTTGTAATTCAAATAACGTTACTTCTATGTGTCATTTTCTAGATCCATATTATATATGGAGATAGGGGTGTTCGCGGTTTGGATTGGATCGATTTTGAAAGCAAAAATCATCCGATCCAATTCTTTCGGTTTGATCTTGTAAGCTAGATATCAACAAAGCAGGCTCTGAACCTGAACTTCCTCTCAATTTACAAGCAATATCCCTATTGTCGTTTAAGCTATCAATCTACAGACTTCTCACCCAAAATTAATACCATCAGTGTAAACTCATTTACCTCTTTACAAACATATACTTTAGTTTACATTAGATTTTAATTTGAGCCATGTGCTTCCTCCCTTTTAAGTGAGAGGCCATGTCAAGCTCACTAGTGCAATTGACATTACAAACTTCACATCTTAATTTGGAATGATTCATCCTTACAGGTTCACCCACATTCTTTTGCTGTTCTTGCACCTTCCAATGATGCATGACTACTTTCCCTTTAAAACCGTTGTTAACTATTATAGCATAGTACTAAGAGATCCACTATTAAGAATAAAACAATTATAATCACAGTAGAATAAATTAAAAGAATGAAAAGTAGAAGAAAGAACAAAAGAGCACACAACTACTTCGAGTCTGGTCCACTATTAGAGATTGGAGTCTCTTTCCCAAGAGAAACATCTCCCTTAATGGCACAATTGATAAGCTCAAACGGTGTGGAGCAGCATCTGGAATCGTCGGCAAGCAGAGATGCCTTGCATTGGCAGCCACGGTTTATTGCATTTGGCTTGCTAGGAACAATGTACTTTTTGATCATGGGACTTATGTTGTAAATGATGTTATTAACAAGATTCAATTCCTTGTTTATAGGCAGTCACACCTTTCCCATTTGTATTAGGCACATGCACCTAGTGGTTTAGCTCTTGCTTAGCTTTTGTATAGCTTTAGCACTAGGGTCATTTGTTTGACATTATATTTTTTGATCATGCGGGGTATGCCCCAGCTATATTGTATCTCTTGGGTTTAATATATATTTACATTTTTCCCAAAAAAAAAAAGAAATACTCTCAAATCAATGGCCACACTGGTTTTTTACTATGTAATGAGTGTCAATCATAGCAAGAGGTGGCAAGCTGTCATTTAAATATAAAGAGACCATGACAATATTTCTTTTAGAGGAAAATACATAAATACCTCTAATAAAAATAAAAAGTAATAATGAAATTTGTCTCCACCAACAACAACAATCACAACAAATATGATGCCAAGATTCTGAATCATGACCACATCTACACAATTCTATGTACTTATAAGCTAAGCCTTTCACAATTGTACTTATTTATAAGCTACACCTTGCTTGCCTGTAGGAATTTCCTTTTTCTCAATCACCTCCAAATCTTTTATGTCTTTGTGCTCTGTTTGGAGCCTTTTCCCATTTGTCTACACAAGATGCTATTTCAATAAGCACTCCAAATGTCACAAGGAGATTTGAATAGATAGAACTAAATCATACTAGAACTTATGGCAAAATTTGTATTAATGTCACAACTGCACTAGAAACATCAAAGCTTTACCTGTTGCATTTCTTTCATATCAGTAGCTCTAATTACATTTGTTTCCTCCACATCCATTTTATTCGTTGTGTTATCTTTGATGTCTTTGTGCTCTGTTTGGAGCCTTTTCCCATTTGTCTGCACAAGATGCTCTTTTAATAAGTACTCTAAATGTCACAAGGAGACTTGGATAGATTTAACTAACTCAAATAATAACCTATAAAAGGAATAATATTAATTTCATAACTATGTAAAATCATGGGTTCGAATTTGGCAAATAGTTTCTTCTCCATCCGGTTAATACATTGTGTTCTTCAATAGAAGAAGAGGAGAATGAGCTAAAATTTTCAACTCCCAATGCCAGACATTTTCTTATAGACATACGCAAACTTGCTTCCATAAATTAATTTTCTTGAATTATAACAATAGAGGACTTTTGCAATAAAACTGCTTTTTTATAACCGGAAAATCATGAATTTGAGTTTTAAAAACAGCTTCTTTGTAAAAAAGTAAAAATAAACTTGTGTACAACCAAGCTTCACCCCTACCCGGTAAAGTCGAGGACACTTGTGCGCTGGGGATAGCATTAGGAGACTTTTAGCCTTTGTAGGAGCATATTTTGAAGGGAATTACTTTTCTCATGTTACATAAACAAAATATTATCTCTTACACTCACATTTCTCAAATGGGTCTTACAAATTTTTTTTCTCTCACCTTTAACTTTTTTCTCTCTCCTACTTTTTGTTTGAGCATGAGATAGTACTTCTCTTATACAACATAAGAGAAGTATTACCCTGTCTTGAATAATACTAGAATAGGTACACATTCACTAAAAGTAGGAAAAGTTTGGGCTCAAGTGCTATTAACCAAAATGAAGTGGGTAGAATAATAGGTAGGTTAATTTTTATCAACTTCAGAAAATGATGTGACAGGT